TTTTTGCGAATAATAAAAGGTTACTGTCTCGCTGGAGCATGCCCACAGTCCACACACAAACGCCTGGCCTGATCAATCAATTTATTTTAAGATTCCCTAAAAAACAAGTGCTTGTGTGTGTGTGTTGTGTGTGTGCGCAGATAGAGAGAGAGAGAGAGAGAGAGAGAGAGAGAGAGAGAGAGAGAAGGCAACACAATTGATATGAGATGTCAAACCAATTTTAACTGGTCGAGAGACGAATAATCGCCAACATTCTTATTTTGTTGTTTGACATAGTATAACATGGAAGTACATATATGCTAGGTACCCTACTATATCATATTTTTTGCATATTGTGGATCAGTGCAAGTTATATGCATTTTGTGTGAGAGTATCTCGTCACTATTTATTTTAAATTTATTTTCTCATTTTATTTCTTCATTCAGGGTAATAGCAATGCGCTAAAATTCACACTTCAGGATAACATTTCTATTTTTATGATTTTATTTTTCATTTTTTAACACAAAACAAGGCATGACAAAGATAAGTACATAATATATGCCTGTTTTTCATATTATGGAACGGTGCAAGTTCTATGATATTTGTATGCGTATTTTCGTCATGATTTGCTTTAAGTTTATTTTTTATTTTATTTTTCCTTTTAGGTAACACCAATGACCTTGATTTATGCTGCCTTAGAAAATTAGTTTTGTTCTTGTTTTTGCTTCATTATGTCTTAGATTTTCCTGATATTTATTCAATTTAATTTGTTGGCCCCTGGATTTTCTTATTTATTTGTGCAGGTGACGGTGTGTTCAATGCCGTAATCTTGTAACACTATTTATTTTTTCTTCAGGAACGGAAAATACAAAACATGCAGTATTTTATATCCTTATTTTGCATATTAAGGAACAATGCAATTTTTGTGCTTATTGTTTGCCAATTTGTGTCATTATTTTGTTTATTTTTTAGGGTGATACCAATGCCCTTTATTCATTCTTCCTTAGAAAAAAAGTTAGTTTTAGTTTTTAGTTTTGTATTTTTTTCTGAGTGTTTTTAACTTTGAAAGACCATGCACATGGGACTCATCCATGCATGACATTATGAGGAAATGGTATGGAAGAGTTGTCAAAATGGTGGATCTTTTCTTCCTCTAAATTCATGCATGATAGATTGTGATAGAAGCAACCGACATGATTGTAAATCGACATGTTCTTGATCTTAGTTCAATAATAAAGCAGATTGATCTTCGCCAGGTGAAGGCTTTCATGTTTTCTTCACTCGACAAAGGGCTCTTGAAAAACATACCTCTACCGTGTGTCCGACTAAATTATACACGGGAAGATGCACACACAATTCGGGTATAGTGCACGGACAAGTCAATCACACACTTGTTATCCTATATGACTGATAGCTTATTCATACAAACATAACAACGTAGCTTTATTCATAAGTTTCACAACAAATAATTAATATTGCAACTTCTCAGTACTTAATCATCTGGATTTTATTTATCACTGTATACACTCTGATGTCCGGCCTGCTTTATGCGTGAGGGGCCTTGGCAGGCACCTACATGGTCTTACGGTGTGGCATAAGTGGCGGCAGCGGCCGGGGGCTCATAGCCTGGCTGCCTCGGCGGCCCGTACCGCGGCGACGGAGGTCCAATGATTTGCCTACGGGATCCATCCAGAACAGTTACACCTATGAACATGATCAATCGTCATTCCGGCCGCCTCATCTTAGAAAATTCCCTTACAAAAATGGCATGCACATAGTTCTTTACGTACCTTCTTGGACCGCTGCTGAGCATGGTGACGGCATGAAACAGTAAACGGTAGCTAGGAAGGCCATAGCGAATGCGAGGGAAGAAGAACAGTGCATATTCACCTGGCCGGCTTCTCAGTGCGTACGTTGTTCACTTTGTGGGCCATATGTTAAATAGGGAACGGTACTAGTAGTAGTGGTACTAACTACACCGGGGATGGCTACGCACTTGCGCTCTCTTCTTGGTCATGGAGACTTGACCGTGCAGATATGAATGCTTGCTCTAGTTCATGGTCAAAATCTGCCGTGTGGAAATGCAGCTTGAGGACAAGAAATTTGTGGCAGAGTAGTCGTGGAAAGATCTTGTTGTTTTATCTTGAATAGACTAGACTTACCAAGTCAAGAGTCTCCCAGTCAGGCAGCTTGCAGCAGCAGGTAAGCCGGCAAAATCAGAAGTCGTGTGCCAAACTCTAAAATAGGGCGTACTTCACTACAAACTTAGAACTATAATAATGTATAGGCCATAATATACCTTATACTCCCTCCGATCCAAATTAATTGGCGTAGCTTTAGTATAACTTTAAACTAAAGTTATATTAAGGTTCTGTCAATTAATTTGGACGGATGAGTACTAGATTTTGGGCATGGCTTTGTGGCATGCCACCCAACCGTTGCATGTTAAATCATTATGTGAGTCGTCTGTAAATTCATTCCTATAAGACTGAAAGAAACCGGACAGAAAACCAAATTAAAACCATATTGTAGAAGGAAAAAAGAATATACGTAGAAATAATATGTCTCACATCAGCTTCACATTATGTTAACGAGTACTTATACATAGTTGGAAATAGCTGCCTCAACAACGATGTTATGCAGATTCATCTCAGAAGATTGTGCTTTGATCCTTTCAGGTTCTGTAGGAACTGAACATGTAAATAGTCGAAATTCACAGTGTAGCATCATAGTTATTGTAGTGTTTTTGTTTAGACAAATCATAACAATAAAATTGAATAAAGGGATCATTTGGAAAACAAATATGTGACAAGATCACAATATACGGAATAAATTTTACGACTGTGCTAGCAAATGCTTCCTGTTCTGTAACGCGGCACATACCTTAAGTTGTTCTCCTGAGTTATATCATATGTAGGGAACGTCAGTGGTATTGTACTACATTGGGGATGGTTACGCTCTTTTCTTTGTCTTGGAGGCTCAACCATCTAGATATACACTAATTCATGGTCAAAGTCTGCCATCGGTATCCGTCGACAAGGGCACCTTTGAAAATGCAGCTTGACGACATTGGATGAGGGACAAAAGGAGTCATGGAAATCGGGAATTCTTTTCTCTTGTAGTATATACCTACTAAGTCAAGAGTCTCCTAGTCATAGTCACGAAGCAGAGGTTCCTCCTATAAAAAATCTACCAGTCCTTTGCTTTCTCAATTTTGTGGGCAATCTATTAATACAGACATTATTAAGAGATTTTTTTTTCAACAGACAATGGAAGAAATAAAAGGATTGCCCTCGAACTAGTGAATGCAAAAGCACAATTTTCACACCCTGTTCGGTAACCATTGGGGTAGGGGCCGGGGTGGGAGTTTGTGTTGGGATTAGGAGTGGAAGTAGATTTTTACTCCCGTTTCCTTTCTTGGTATATTATGGGAATTAGTCTATCATGGACCACTGTTCACGAATTAACATGGTACCCCATGGAAAGAAATCGGGAATCGGCTCCCTCAACTCCCATTCCCCTGCCAACTTAAACTCTCATTACCTATAATCAATCAAAGGGCTTTTAATCTCCTAACTCCTCAACTCAAATTCCCCATCTCTAGTTTGCACGAGCCAAAGACGTTGTCAGATAACACCTTCGGGGAGGAAGTGATACACTAGTGTGGTCATTGTTGTAGTCTTATTCAATTTTCCACTGAGGCCCTATTCTTATCAAAAAAATCAACTTCGATACCGAATTAAAAACTTCACAATAAATGGGTTGCTTGCATCATTCTATCAAGAGTCCGAATGTATACACTTCTTTCAATGAAGAATATATTTATAGTGATGTGGAAAAAGTAAGATGAGAAAAGTAGGCTAGTTTCTTATCAAAGAAATGGAATCTTGTTGATCATAAATCCTCTTCTGTGGCTATGTCATTCAAATTTGTTTTGACGCTTTGGTGGTAAAATACTTATCATGCTTTTTATAGGGCTAATTTGCCCTTGCAGATATTTTTCCTTATGTGCTGACTCGAAGGGCGGGCGCTTGGTAAGCGGTTGCGGGATCCCCGTGGTAGAGTTGATTGGATATTTTTCATGCTGACCTGAAAGGGTGAAAAACTTGAGCTCTGATGATGTGTTTGGTTGAATTGTTTCGTTGGTGATGATTTGTTTTTGTTTTGCTGTATTTATATCTCGGTGATAGATCAATAATTTCTAGGGCATATCGATTATGACTTGTTATGAGCTATCTGATCAATTTATTTATAAAGTAGTACAGATTATTTGTAAGCATGTTACTGCAATGGTCATCGCAGTACTAGTAGTTTATTTTTCTCCCCCTGTCCCTCTTTTATATTTTGTTGTGTGAGGAACATGAAAATAAATGTGCCTGTTACCAAAAATATGGGGAAAAGTGAGAGTAGATTTTTCTTGAAGCACCATGTAGTTGTAACCTCTAACAAGATTAATTTTCCGACTTTGCATCAAGATCCGTGCTAGTTCACTATCTTCACCTGGAAAAAATTGTTTATCCTATGTGGCACACCATTCTTGAAATTTTCCTTTATATGGGTGAAAGCAAGCACATGAGTTACTGTATTTTGGCTATGATCCAGCTTCTTGAGTATAATACTGTGTGAGTCCAGTGAGCACGCGTGCGAATTTCCTTCGCAATTTGGCCATAGTTTGACTTATATCGACCATACTTTAAACTTTGCAAGTCAAAAGAACTTTCGTACTAACAGTGCCTAAAAGTTTTCGGATATTTCTGTGGTGCAACAAAAATGTCTAAACGAATTTGATCCTCTAGCTATTTAATGTGTACAAAAAAATTACAAGTTGGGCTGCCTCACCGAACTTCTCGGGCTGTTCATATTTTTTGTCTGTTATTAATAGTTTCAGTCGCCAACACGGCAAACAATCCTCGTCACCAAGAACGTAAGGTTACAAGTTCCTGGTCTTAAATTTATTTCCTTAATTTGCACCATCAGCAATCGTACATGCATAGACAAGAACATATCGGAGGGACAGTGCTTCATAGATGAGGAACGCTCGAAACAGCCTGCTGCAGGGTCTTCCGGTGCGGCGCAAGCGCCGTTGTCTCCAAGGGCGGTGGTGGCGACGCAATCTCGGCCGGAGCATCCACCGGGTTCTGGTTCCCGGGCAGTGGCGACGGCGGAGTCCTTGGCTCACGGCGTCCGTCCGGAACAACTGCATGTATCATCAATCATCATCCTAATCCGGCAACTGAGCTGCGAGTAGTGGTTTATTAGTTACCTTGGGCCGCCGCCGAGCATGCTAACCAACAGCAGATGAGTCCCAGGAGGGCGACACCGCGTGCCATGGAAGAAGAAGAGCGCTCCATGATCCTCTCTAGCTGCATAGTACAACGTTGTGACGAGCCTTGTATTATAAGAGACGGTAGTGGTACGGTCTTGGAGACTATGGGTCAAAGTCTGCCGTCCGTCAACCTTGGAAAAGTTCGGCTGGCTTGAGAACAGCGTCAGTGGCCCATAGGGACGAAAAAATCTTCCTCTTTCGTCTTTTATCTATTGACCAGAGAAGTCAAGTATCAAGTCATGCAGCGTGCATCACCCGTCGACGCGTAGTTCGGCACCACAGCATCATTTTCAGCTGACGCGCCACTAATTGGCCCATCGGCCACGGTATAGTTGAAGTGAAAAAGAAAGGACCTTAATTAGGAGAGAACGTGCTCCCCTAGTTTCTTTGGAACAAATTATCGCGCTTTCTAGGAGCCTCTCGTAAACGATGTTGTTCGCTCTGGAGCCTCCTGCGAGCGAACGATGCCATGTGCAGACTTTGCCATGTTAATAATGTTATAGATAGTATAATATGGCAAATGTTGCAGCAAAGAAAGTGACATGGTACAACATCGAAAGTTTGTCACATGATCATTGATAGCAGTGCTGGATTTGTCCTACTATAAGAGAGATAAGTGCCAATGCTATAGCAGAGAAAATTATCAATATGTTCATGAATCGCCATGCTAACAAAAAAAGATTGCCATGTTGCAGAAAAAAGATTTGTCATGGGGCAACAATAGTGTGGATTGTCATGCTACAAGCAGGAAAAATGTCGTGCTACATGGAGAAATTGCCACACATGCTTTCAACAATTGCGATGCTACATCACGGAAGAATGCAATGCCACACACGATCTCATTCGCTCAAAAATAATAATAGCACAAATAGGATTCGCACTCAGGGATCGGTTGTCCCATAGACCGTTCGCTCAAAAAAATAACGCTCCTATGGGACGTTTGCTATATATCATTTCCAAAATAAGAAGAACACAAAACATCTACACTGCCAGGGGCAACTAGGGCAGCGAAACTGTAACTGCCACCGAGCAAAAATCCTCCCCCATTACTCCCTTGCCGGAGCCGAAGGGTGTGGGAAAGCCCCTTCCAGCGATAGATAGCAGCAGGGCTCTCTCTCCCGGTGCTAGAGGGGATGGTGGTGGCAGAGGTGCAGAGAGCTCTTCGGGTGTCGTGTTGAGGTGCGGGCGGTGGCTCCGGTAGCAGCGGCACCAGTAGGTTATTCCTCTCCTACCACGGGAGGTAGGGTGGTGGCATGGAGAGTGTGTGATAGTGACACATGTTCCAAGGCCCGTCTGGTCCGCCTGCCTACGAGCGACCGCCTCTGTTGGTGGATCATTCGTTCTTATCAAGTTTTAATAGTTTGAATCTTGGTTCAACTTAAAAATTGTCATAGGTTATTCAAAAGTGATCTTATTTCAAAGCCCTCATCACAGGGATCATGAATATGCAAACACAACATAAATTAAACTTTCAGCTCAAATATATAATAAATTGAAAATTGAAAGTCAAATGAAAAAGCATGAGAGATAGGATGGATGGAGCATGCAATGTCTAACAAAAGCTTGCATGCATAGGTCGCTCCCATAGTAATCAAGGGCTAAGCCATGTATTCAATTCATGTTCCAGCCAACTCATCCAAAAAACCGAAGTGATGGTGTGAGGCGGGCAATATATTTCAACACCTCCCCTCAGGTCTAGACTATTTTAGTCCTTAGACGTGTGATCGATGTAGGCCGCATAATCATTTTTATTTAATACTGCATTAGCAGGGTCTTGAACTCAAGACCTCTGAGCTCTGATACAATATTGAATTAATGCTCCAGCCAACTCCTCCCATACATCCGACATAATAATAAAATTATTATTTATAAGTCACAGATGCATGTAAGCCAGTGTGAAAAAATCTCCTCTCATACACTGTTTTCTTCTATATTATAAAAAGGACCTAGGACCTCTTTTTAAAATCTTCGCAGATGAAAAGAATGGCGTCGCATGTCATTATCTTCTTCCCTGCTATTCTCAACGACTCCCCTCCCTCCACAAAAAATATTCGTCTCCGACGCACACCGCCGCCACGCGGTTCCCTTTCATGTATGTCGTTCAGCTCCGCTCGTGTAGGGATGGACAACTCACCGGTGCTCGATGGTGACGCAGAACAAGGCCAAGCCGCCCGTCCTCGTGCAGCTATGCCGTTGGATACGCCTTGCTGCCGAGTGCCCTTTTTGGTCATGGTCGTTCAACGGAGTTCACTTAGCACAAGCTTCCTTTCTTATGCATGCTAATGGTAACACACTGCTCTTTGGCCGTGTGCATGGTCGTTCTTTGGCCGATCACTTTGCTGCATACAACGGCTAGCTCCGCTAGAAAAACAGACGTGTTTGCACTGCTAACGCTGCAACTGATTTTACTGCTCATGCACCTGGGCACCGAATCGTTGTGTCCTTAAGTTCACCCCTTAACTCCCACCTGCAGCCTGCACTGCTCACGGATGGTCCCACCGAATGTATAGTACAGCACTATAGAAGTGCTAACGATATAGAAATGCAAATACAGATTCGTGAACCACATAGAAATGCAAATACATGACCTTGAATTAGATAAAAACGCCACGCCCACTTCCCCTTCTTTAGTAATAACATCTATAAATAAACACGTAAAGGATGGAGAACCGTGTATAGATGTGATGTGGCCGCAATATGGGATCCCCTAATCTTAAGTTCTAGTTTTTAAACAAAACAGTCGTACCAAAAAATTTAAAAATAATAATCAGAAACAATGTAGTACATCAATATAGAAGTGATAAAGGATATAGAAATGCAAATACAAAATCTTGAACCACATAGAAATGCAAATATAAAATCTTGAACTAGATTAAAACTCCAAGTCCACATCCCCTTCTTTAGTAATAGCTATAAATAAACACGTAAAGGACGGAGAACCGGGGTATCGATGTGAAGTGGCCACAATATGAGATCCAATGCATATTTATTTTTTTGAAGAAAGAGAGGCCTCACCTTCGATTTCCATTAATAGAAACCAGGGTGTGAAATTGCCGGAACCAATGCCTGGCCGTCCGCAGAATGTTTGGAGGAAACAACCTCTTCCACAAATATAGCTGCAACCCCATCCTTTATAATGAGCCATACATCTAGATCATCACCATCATATCCACAATCAACCACGATGGCGTCCAAAGTCCTTGTCGCAATCCTCCTGCTCGCCGCGGCGACGCCAGCGTCGCTGGCTGCCATCGATGTGGTGCAGCTGCTCGCCGGCAAGCCCCAGTACGCAACCTTCCTGAGGCTCCTGAAGGAGACAAAGGTCGCCGATGACGTGAGCCGCCTCAAGTCGGCTTCCGTGCTGGTCGTCACCGAGAAGACCGTGAAGCCACTCTTGGCGGTGCCGGCCGCCAAGCAGCGGACGATCCTCCTGCATCATGTGCTCATCAAGTATTTCGACCCCATCCAGCTGGGCGAGATGAAGACCAACGTCGCCAAGCTCCAGACCATGCTCTCCAACACGGATGAGGACATGGGCACCATCAACTACTCCAAGGACAAGGACGGCCAGATGTACCTACGCTCCCCAGGCGCCGACAGTGTCGCCAAGCTCGTCAAGGTCGTCGCCGCGCGCCCCTTCACCATCTCCATCATGGAGATCAGCGCGCCGCTCTTGTGCCCCAAGCTACTCGGCCCTGGCGCCGCCGGCGCTGCCGCGGGCAGGCCCAAGGGCAAGGGCAAGGGCAAGATCAAAACCATGTCCGCTGAGGAAGGGGCCACCGCCGCGGCTCCAACTGCCTGATCTGAGAATTGAGTAAGGTGGCCCTACAGGGCCCCCGTTGAACCATGCGCGCACAACTTTGGATTTTATCTTAATGCCAAGGCTTCATACATCTTCTTTTTTCTGCTACTGTATTAACTTTGTGTTTCCAGTTTCCTATGATTATGAGTCAAGTGAACAAGTACAACTAGAGGTTGGGGCGCGCATCCTGTGCAGTGTGCGCGTTTTTTTGGGTGCAAAGGTAGTCAATCGAGGAAGAATGTAACAACTGCCTTATTTTTTGAGACAACAGCTTGTGATGTCAATATGATTTTATGGACCCTGATATCTCCTGTACCGAACCAACCGTTGGCTGGGTAGGGTCGATCAATCGAACAGCGTGACCAAACCCCCCATCGCTCACTAATAGAGGTTGCATCAATCCAACGCTGGGCCAAAAACGTGCCAAGTAGTAGCCCAAAAAACAAGCCTTATTAACGCTGGCCGAAAAGATGTCCCTCTTGCACTGGCACGACTAGCAAAACCTAGTATTTGCCATGTCTTACTGTAGATTCAAAACACCGCATCCTAAAACTGTTGAGACCACAAAAAAATGCAGAGGAAAAAATACGCAAAAATATGTAACGCATAGTAATTTGGTGAGGATATAATATGCATTGGCCTTGTGGTATATGTTTCTACCTTGTGTTGGCCATACTCTAGTTTATAAAGTTTTTCATGCTCTAATTAATAAAAATTACCATGGTGGTGTATTTTAAGTTGTCGTGGTAAAACATGAGGATTAAATCTTCAGGTATTATTTCACGGGTGGGGCGAGTTAGAATTTACCTATGATTTTAAAAACGTTAGCACAGAAAATGTGGATTGTTTTTGTAAGGTGTTTGACAACGTACATGAAGGCACAAAATATGTGGATTAAAAATTGCCATCACGTAGAACACAAAAAAGTGTACCATATATTGTTTAATAGTAATTCTCATGTTTCATATAGAAAAATTAACGTGGTCCCATGCATGCAAAGAATCCCACGAACGATGAAACTAAAATTTTCATGGATGTAAAGTAAATTTACAGGGCACTATAAGTAAATTTTCCATGGCAAAAAAGGTAAATTTTTCATGAGCAATTAAATTAAAAATTCCCATATATGGTAAAGATAAAATTTCCATGGAAAATAAAAAAAGGAAAAACTTTTCATGGCAATAAAAGTAAACTTGCCATGGAAATAGGTTAATTTGCCATGCCACAAAGTAAAATTTTCCCTACTCTTAAAAAGGATAAAATCTTATGAACATCAAATTTTCATACATGTTTGTCATGTGATAAATTCCATGAAATATCTCAAATCTTGATTTGATGTATGAGGCATGCATTTTTGAAAATTTTGGCATATCTTAATCCACATAACTTTTTTGCCATGACATGGTTAATGAACTAGACACACTAGTAGAAAACGGCCCATTAGCCCTGGTTTCAGAGGCCCTTTAGCCCCGGTTCTGGAATCGGGACTAAAGGGTCGGGACTAAAGCTCAAAACCATTAATCTTGGTTCGCTTACGAACCGGGACAGAAAGGGTTCCACGTGGCCGCTGCGGGGCGCTCAGGCAGAGGACCTTTAGTCCCGGTTGGTAACACCAACCAGGACCAAAAGGCATCCACGCGTCAGGAGCTGGCAGGAACAGGGGGTTATGTTTTTTTTAAAAGGGGGGGGTTAGGGGATTTTGAAGGGTTAATTTAGTGGTTTCATATATTGTGTTAGCTAGCTAATAGAGGGAAGTGTATGAACAAAGTTGCCATGGTAGATGCATATTAAAATTTTCCATTCTATTTTTTTCTTATAATTGTCATGATTTGTGTAAGAAAAATGCCACGTATGTACATTGTAGTGGCGTATTGAAAATATGAACAAAGTTGCCATGGTAGATGCATATTTAAAATTTCCATTCTATTTTTCCTTATAATTGTCATGCTTTGTATAAGAAAAATGCCATGTATATAAATTATTTCTGCCATGATACAAAGGTCGGCACCGCCAAGAGTGGCTTTATGCGACCTTACCGTGGCTCCTGAAGGAGACAAAGGTCACCGATGCACAACTAGGGAAAACTCTATACACAGAATCTTAGCAGCAGCGCGGCTCAAAAAGGAGCGTTGCTACTAATTAGCAGTAGCGCGGGTGTGGAAAACCCGCTACTGACAAGTGCTTAGCAGTAGCACGCTCGGCGTAACCCGCGCTGCTACAAATATCGACCGATAGTGCCCACCCAACTCCATTTAGCAGCAGCGCGGTGCCGCGAGCCGCGCTACTGCTGTAGCTGTAGCAGCAGCGCGGTTTTTCTGAGGTCGCTGCTGCTAATTTTCAAATCGGGCACACTTTTGGTCCCGGTTAGCAGTAGCGCTTGTACCGAAAGCGCGCTGCTGCTACTTTCTTAGCAGCAGCGCGTTTTACGTACCGCGCTACTGCTAATCCACACCCACCATCTTTTCCCCACCCGTCCTCCCCCTCCCCCAAATCCCTCCTCTCTTCCGCCACTCTCTCCTCTCTCTCTCCATACGTTCTCACATTGACCTCTTGCCCATGCGCCCCTCCTCCTCCATGGCACCGAAAGAGGGCGCCGCCTCGCGCCACCGGCGTCTAGGAGCTCGCCGGTCTTCCACCGGCGTCTAGGAGGCCGCCGCCTCGCGCCACCATGCCGAAGACCTAACCACCGGTGACCAGCCCCGCTACTCCCTCCATCTCCTTCCTCTCTCCCTCGGTTTTCTTTCTCTCTCTCTCTCTCCCTCTGGTTTGACTCACATTCCCATGTCCATGCCCGTGCAGGTAGTCGCCATGGACGACCATATCTGGCATGGTCGGGAAGAGGAGCCCCACGCCGCTGCCTTGCTCTTCCATGGAAACAGGCCCTCGTGCAACAGCCACTGCCGGATCTGGTCTGCCGCTGCTCGTTCATGCCTCCAGCGACCCCAACCATCGCTGGATCGAACAACTACTGCCATTAACAACAAGCACGGGATCGAGATATCTTTTTCTTTTGAAAGTAATAGTAGTAGCGCGGGGTATAAGACCCACTACAGATAATTAGCAGTAGCGTTGTACTGCAACGCACGCTACAGCTAACCATGTATAGCAGTAGCATGTATCAACACGCGCTACTGCTACAAGTTAGCTGTGGCGCCGTATCAGTAGCGCGGGCGCCCCGCGCTACTGATACACCCAAAACCCGTGCTACTGCTGGGCTTTTCCCTAGTAGTGATGACGTGAGCCGGCTCAAGGCGGCGTCCGTGCTAGTCGTCCCCGAGAAGGCCATAAAGCCACTCGTGGCGGTGCCGGCCGCAAAGCAGCGGACAATCCTCCTGCATCATGTGCTCATCAAGTATTTTGACCCCATCTAGCTGGGCGAGATGAAGACCAATGTTGCCAAGCTGGAGATCATGCTCTCCAACATGGATAAGGACAAGGTACCATTGACTATTCCATGGACAAGGACGGCCAGATGTACCTACGCTCCCCAGGCGCCGAAAGTGTCGCCAAGCTCTTCAAGGTCGTCGTTGCGCGCCCCTTTACGGTCTCCATCATGGAGACCAGCACGCCGCTCTTGTGTCCCAAGCTACTCGGCCCTGGCTTCGCCGGCGCTGTCGCTGTCGTGGTTCTAAGTCTGACAGTAGTGTAGGGGGTAAGTATGGAGAGGCAAGATCTTAGCTATGGAGAAGTTGTAAGAACGCAAGGTTTACAAGTTCAGGTCCTTCTCGGAGGAATTAATAGCCCTACGTCTCGGAGCCCGAAGGCGGTCGACTGGATTATGCGAGTATGAATTACAGAGGTGCGAACCCTTGTATCGGAGGAGGGGGTGGCTTATATAGAGTGTGCTAGGACCCCAGCCAGCCCACGTTACAAAGGGTTCAATGTACATTAAGGCAGGGCGTTACTGGTAACGCTAGTAATAAAGTGCTATGATGGCCATAAAAGCTACTTAATGACCGACTGTTAGCGTGCGGAATGACTTTAGGTCTCCTGGCCGTCGAGTGGTTAGATCTTGGTCGAGTGATTGCTTCTTGGTCGAGTGTCTTCGAGTCTGTCGAGTGGAATACCTCCAAGTTGATTGAAAGATGATTTGTTCTAGAGATGTCCTTGGGTAGGGCAGTTAGGACAGGTCCATGACCCTACCCTAGGTACATAGCTTCATCATTAGCCCCCGAATGGATCGAGGTTTGAGTGGGGAAGGGGTTGAGAACTTCTCCGACTCATTTTTCATGCCGTGAGCATGTCTTGTTTCGGATCAACGGACCTGAGTGATGACAGCAACTTCCTTTTCAGTCGCCTTGATCCATTCTTAATTCTTCGTCGAGTGAGTTTCTTTACTTGTAAGGCTCCGAGTGACGGTGCGGAGGAGATCTTTGGTCTGACAAGTTGTTTGCTGCCCGCAGATTTCGTGGAATCCGAATTTTGGGAAGCGCGCGGGACGGGGGAGGCCGCAGTAATCGGATGGGATAGAGCGGAGCCGCCTCGATCCCCGCGCCACCTTTTTCGCCACGTATTGCACGCGCGGTCATTACGGGATTTGACAGAGCTGCCTGGGCCTACCCGTCAGCCACTCGGAAGCGGCCTCATATAAGGCGTTGGACCGGAGTCCTCCGAATAGTGCGTACCATTACCTCTTCTCCTCTTCACGCCCCTCCGCTGCGCTCGCTCTCGCTCCAGTGCCACCGCACCGTACGCGTCTCGCCGGCGACAATGGGGAAGGAGAAGACAGCGGCTCTGGAGCAGGCAAAGAAGGCGACGGCGAGGTCGAAGGGGAAGGCGACGAGCCAGGGCGGATCTTCCTCGCGGACCGACCTGCCGAAGGGCTGGATCCAGGGCGACTGGATCCACTCGAGTATATCCCAAGAAGACCTCGACGACCTGGCCGAAGGGGGGCTGATCCCCTATGACTCGGCGCGACTTTCGGGGAAGGAATCTGAGCCGCAACCTCGGGAGGGTGAGCGTGTTCTTCTTGCCACCCACGTCGACCGTGGATTTTCCTT